ACACACATATGTACAATACTGTGGTAGTTCTACCTTGTACACTAGGTCCCTCACTTTTGGAGCTCTGGGCTGCCAAGAATAAAAAATCTGAATTCTCTGAGGCTACCATGTTATGAGGAAGTCCAAGCCATATGGAGAGGCTATGAGCTTGAGACAATAGCCCAATTGGTCTTCCAGCCATCAGCCAGCATGAACTGCCAGGCATGTGAGTGAAGCCATCTTTGATGTCCATTCTGGTTGAGCCATCAGACTTGACCCCAGTGGACATCTCAGTGGGATTGCATGAGAGACCCTGAGCCAGAACTGTCTGGCCAAGTCCTTCCACAACTCCTGTATCATGAGATCTTGAGAAAAATAGAATGGTTGTTTAAGAAAAATTATAGCAGGGGTGCCTGACTGGCTCAGTTGGAAGAGCGTCTGACTTGAGCTCAGGATTGTGAGTGTGGGCCCCACATTGGGTGTAGAGATTATCAAAAAATTTTTTAAAACTCACAGTAGCCTTATTATAATAGCCCCAAACTGGAAACACTCTAAATGTCCTTCAACAACAGAAAGAATAAATAAAAGATGGCATATTCATAGACTGGAATATTATACCACAATGAAAGTGAATGAACCATGCGTACATGGATGAAACTCACAGATAAAACACCGAGTAAAAGGAGTCATACACATGAGTACATATTGTGTGAATTCATTTACATGAAGTTGAAAATCATGGGGATGAAGTAAGAGTAGTAAGTAAGAGTAGTGATTTTCCTTAGGGAGGATTGACTGAGAAGGAGGACAGAGAACTGTTTTAAGCTGGGAATATTTCATATTTGGATCTGGGTGGCGGTTACAAGCTGTGCATATATGTAAAAACACTTCAGGAGATGTAAGAGTTAGCCCAATTTAAAAATAAAAAACATGAATAGGACTTTGTTTGTTTATTTATTTTTAAAGTAAACTCTATGCCCAAGATGGGGCTTGAACTCGTGACTCCATGATCAAGAATCACATGCTCTACCAACTGAGCCAGCCAGGTGCCCCAGAATTTTATTTTAAAGACATCATAATTGGGGTGCCTGGGTGGCTCAGTCGTTCAGCGTCTGCCTTCAGCTCAGGTTATGATCTCAGGGTCCTGGGATCAAGCCCCACGTCCGGCTCCCTGCTCAGCAGAGTCTCCTTCTCCCTCTCCCTCTGCACTCCCCCGTCATGTTCTCTCTCTCAAATAAATAAATAAAATCTTAAAAAAAAAAAAAAAAAAAGCTGTGTTCTGGGGCGCCTGGGTGACTTGGTTGAGCATCAGACTCTTGGTTTAGGCTCAGGTCATGATCTTGGGGTCCTGGGATCGAGCCCTGCGTCAGGCTCCCTGCTCTGTGGGAAGCCTGCTTCTCCCTCTCCCACGCCCCCTGCTTGTGTTTCCTCTCTTGCTGTGTATCTCTCTGTCAGATAAATTAAATCTTTTTTAAAAAATTAAAGGAACAAAGTTAGGAATATTTGAGGAATTGAGTGATTTTCATAGGAGTATGGTTGATAGCATAGAGTATCAAGCAGACTTTTTGTAAAAATTAACAGCTGATTCTTTTTTTTTTAAGATTTTATTTATTTGAGAGAGTGAGAGAGAACATGAGCCTGGGTGAGAGGCAGAGGGAGAAGCAGACTGCCCGCTGAGCAGGGAGCCTGATGCGGGGCTAGATCTCCCGACTCTGGGCTCATGACCAGAGCCGAAGGCAGACGCTCAACCGACGGAGCCACCCAGGCGCCCCTAACAGCTGATTCTGTACTGTATATAGAAATGCACAGAACGTAGAAAGGCTAAGACAATCTCAAAGAAGAGCAAATCTGGAGGGCTTACTTTGATTTCAAGCAGAGTGGTCTTGGTGTAAGGTAAGGTAAATAGATCAACAACTGGATATCTATATGCAAATAAGATGAATCTGGCCTCTGCCTCACACTGTATACAAAAATTAATTTGAGATGGGTCATACACTTAAGTATAAAAGCTTCTAAATGAAAGGGTAGGAGAAAATCTTCATGACTTTTGGGGTAGGAGATTTTTTTTTTAAACGTGACACGAAAAACACTAACCATAAAATAAAAACATCTCCACTCACCAAAAGATATTAAAGTGAAAAGGAAAGCCACAACTGGGAGTGTATTTTCTAAATATATATATATCGAACAGCCCAGGTTATAAAATGGGCTAATTCTCAGAGGAGTTGTCTGTCAACAGGCACTTTACAAAAGAAGATATCCAAATGGTCAAAAAGCACATGACAAGGTCCTTCACATCTCTACAGGTCAAGAACATGCAAAGAATACCACAAGGAGATATCACTGTACACATAGCAGAAGGGCTACTTTTAAAAAGACTGACAAGGGGCGCCTGGGTGGCTCAGTCGGTTAAGCGTCTGCTTTCAGCTCAGGTCATGGTCCCCGGGTCCTGGGATCAAGCCCCGCATCCAGCCCCTGCTCCGCGGGAAGCCTGCTTCTCCCTCTCCCACTCCCCCTGCTTGTGTTCCCTCTCTCACTGTGTCTCTCTCTGTCGAATAAATAAAATCTTTAAAAAATTTTTTATTTTTATTTATTCATGAGAGACAGAGAGAGGTGGAGGGAGAAGTAGGCTCCTCCTGGAGCAGAGAGCCCGTGGAGGGGCTTGATCCCAGGGCCCCGGGATCATGACTTGAGCCAAAGCCAGACACTTAACCAACTGAGCCACCCAGGCGCCCCCAAACAAGCTGTTTTTAAATGACGTTCAATAATAGGTAAAACTAACCTATGTGATAGAAGTCAGGATAGTGATCCCCTGTTTTCTCTGGAGCACTGAGAATGTTCTTTCTTTGAACTGGTGGTGATTACATAAGCGTTGCTTTCAAAATATGTGCATTTTGGGACACCTGGGTGGCTTAGGTCCTGATCTCTGGGTCCTGGGATAGAGCCCTGAGTTGGGCTCCTGGCTCAGCAGGGAATCTGCTTCTGCCTCTGCCCCTCCCCCCTGCTGGTGCACTCTTTCTCTCAAATAAATTTTTAAAAATGTGCATTTTGCTTTACATAAACTATCTACACCTTCAATAATAATAATAATAATAAACCCAGGAAAACTCTCCCCCCTGCTGGTGCACTTTCTCTCAAATAAATTTTTAAAAATGTGCATTTTGCTTTACGTACACTATCTACACCTTCAATAAAAAAAAACAGGATAAACAAACTACATATTGTCTGGAAATTTTTAAGAAAAAGCACTTCATATGAAACACTAATGGACATAGGTTTAGCCATACTCAGAGGAAGATCTATAGTCATTAATACTGTGATTACCAAAAAATACTAAAAATAAAGTTACTTAATTCAATAAACTATTGAACTAATAAGATAAACAAAAATAGTGTTAATGAAGAGGAAGGTTGAAATTAAGCAAGTAGAAAGTAAAACGATAGAAAAGTAAGTAAAAGAAAATGGTATTTCTTTGAAGGTACAAATAAAATAGAGCAACGAATAGGTTTAGAAAATACCTGGGTTCCATCAGTAGTTCTTGTGATTTTTGTCTTGAAACTTTGGTGCTGTGTTCCCATAACAATGGAACTTGGTGTGGTTCGTTCATTTATTACATTTTGAAGAATCTGTCGGACATCGAAATCCTCAGGACACGGTTTTATGATCTGGTAAGAGAGACCAAGAGGTACAGCAGGTTTCAGCTGCTCTTTGCCTGGCAGACAGCAGGTGCCTGGCCATTTAGGCACGTTAGTTCGTTTCAGGAGCACGATGGCTCCCGCAAGGTAGGTACTGCCCTCATCTTGGAGACGAAGTTACCCCAGCCTGGCCGCTCGGGTGCGGGTGTGAAATCAGGGCTGACCCTGGACTCCCCAGGTCAGGAAGGTAGGAAGAAGCCCTCTGGATTTAGAGGCGACGGAGGCGCCTCCGCAGGTGCCAATGGGCTCTGCGTGTCGGGAGCGGAGGCCTGCGGGATGGAGCGGGCAGGTGCAGGCCCCGAGGCGCGCGGGCGAGCTGGGTCTGTAATGTGCAGCCCGGCGGCAGCCAGGTGCAGCGGGCCGGGTCGCGGCCGCGGGTGCAGCGCCCCCTGGGCGGGCCGCTGGGCTGGCGCGCGGGGGCGCGCGCGGACGCGCGCGGGGCGGCGGGGACGCGCGGGCGCTGAGGCCTGCGCGCCCGGCTGCGGGAGCCATGCGGCGGGTGAGGAGCGGCGCGGCCGCCAAGCCACGCGGGCAGAAGGGGCCCGGAGCTTCCGTGGCCCCCGCGGCCGCCCCCTCGGCCCCCAGCGCCAGCCGCGCCCGGCGCTCCACCGGTCAGGCCGGGGGCGACAGCCCGGCGGCGGCGAGGCAGCCGTCGGCGAAGCGGCGGCCGAGGCAGTCGTCGCCGCGGGCCCGGGAGGTGGGCCCGGGGCAGCCGCCGCCGGAGCTGCCGCTGCTCCCGCCGCCGTCGCCGCCGCGGCCGCCGCCGACCCCCGCCACCCCGGCTGCCACTCTGCCCGACCTGGGCGACCAGCGGGAGCGCTGGGAGACGTTCCAGAAGCGACAGAGGCTCACCTTCGAGGGCGCCGCCAAGCTGCTGCTGGACACCTTGTGAGTGCGGCCGGGCCGGGCGCGGGAGTCGGCGCCCCTCGGACCCCCTCGGTGCGGGAGCGGCTGTCGCGCGGGCTGGGGCAGCTTTTCCGCCCTCCGTCTTGCCCGCACCGTGACCGACGCGTGGCCCCGTGGTGGCCCCGGGCGCGTCCCTCATTCGCACGGCCGCTTGCCTTGGCTTGGTGCGGGCTTGCGGCCCTGGACCGGACGGGGCGCTGCGCCCCGGGAGCGTGTGGAGAGCCGCGCCGCGTCCTGGGACACAAAGGGTCTTTAACGGGGACAGCCATCGTGCTCGGGACGCTGTCTCTCGTCTTGGCGCGCCGAGGGCGCGGGGGCCTTTCCCAGTGAGAAGAAGCTAAACCCCACGACTGTGCGCCTACCTGACTCGCTTTTTATATTTGCGCACGTGTTTTTTTGGAGCGTGGGTGGGAGGGAGAGGTGGCGAGGGGGGAGAAAAGCTTGGATAGTTTTGAACCCACCGGGAGGCGAGATCCCGTTATTGTTCCAGGCGCTCCCTGGGAGCGAGCGGAGTGCGGGGGAGGGGGTATTGATCCCGGGGAGAAGCGCGCGCAAAGCGATGCTCGGTATTCTGAACAGCGGCGCGGGTACCCAAGGGGGGTGGGGGAGAGGGAGGCCTTGCCCTCGCCGCTGACTGATGCTCCTGGGTGGCTCGCTCTCCTTCGCGCTCCCCCAGCTTCGCTCCTGCAGGAGAAGAACCTCCATCCAGGTCCTCAGATGGCCAGGGCAGGATTTCAGTGTCCGGGATGTTCGAAATGAGCTATTAACTCTGGCAAGGGCTGCCTTGTTGTCTCCAAATGTGATAGCATCTAGATCTCTGTCCTGTAGAATAGCTGGGCTACAGGGCGCCTGGGTGGCTCAGATGGTTAAGCGTCTGCCTTCAGCTCGGGTCATGATCCCAGGGTCCTGGGATCGAGTCCCCCATCGGGCTCCCTGCTCCTTGGGAGCCTGCCTCTCCCTCTGCTTCTCTCTCTCTCTCTCTCCCCCTCTGTCTCTCATGAATAAATAAATAAAAATTAAAAAAAAAAAGAATAGTTGGGCTACAGAGAAATATTTTTAGCACCCCGATAATCTATCTCTGCGTCCATTATTTTGTGAATTACAAAGAGCGATCAAAATCACAGAAAAAAAACAAGGATAACCTAACACTTGCATAACAGGCTGAGGGTTACTCCTTTTCTTGAACAAAAATGTTTTTTTTGTCCTTAATCCTGAAGAAATTCTCTTAGTTAGGATGAGTCTTCTCAGAGATAAAATATTTGGTTTCCTGTGCGCTTCACTTTCTGATTTATCATCTTGGATTACGGGCTGAACATTTTTTTTCTATTCATCATTAAACATTTTTGACCCCCTGTGGTGAGCCACCAGTTGCTAAGTGTAGGGGATATAAAGATGCTCAGAAATGTAAAACTCAAATTTGAAGTAAATTTTTACTTTAAAACAAACTTGATAAATGGTCAAGAAAAAAGATTTTTAAACGTTGATAGAAGACAAGATTTTTTTTTTTTTACCCATTAGATTGGTGTGAGTACGTACATTTGTTTAAATAACCCAAACTCACTCACTTATATGCAAAAAGAATGTATAACTCTGCACTGTTTTTGTTAAAAGGTTACCATATAGAAAGAAGTCTGGAGGAATATATAGCGAATAGTTAATTGTGGATCCCTCCAGGCGTTAAGATTACCAGAGACTTTCCTTTTTAACATAATCAAGTGTTGTAATGTTTTGTTTTGTTTTTTTACAATGAGCATTATTTGTGTATGCAGAAAGATTTTAAATACATCAAGGTAACCGATTCACCTTGGAAAGAAACAGGGAAAAGCATTCAGTCTTATGAATGAAAAAAATGCAAATTAAAACTGCCGCAAGCTATTTTTCCGGTAATCATTGCTTGAGCGGGTACAGTGAAGTGTTTTCTCATTACTGAGAAGCCTTCGGCCCTTTTGGAGCGCAATTTGACATTTTTCAAACTTGATAATGTTCAACCAAGGGTCTGGCTTATATATGTTTTGAGAGGATTAAAATAGTATGTAATGTGTACGTAGAGCTCTGTAAAGAGTCCTGCATATGCAAAATCCTGGAGGGGAATATAGCAAAATTCCAAGAGCCTTTCTCAGAAGAAGACTTTTCCAAACCACCAGACTCAGGTCTCCTTGTTGCACTTCTTCATAGCTGCCTGTACTGCTTTTATCACAGTCCCTTAAATATTGCTTGGGTAATTTGTTTGATGACTGCATATGGTTGGTAAGGCCAGGAACACGTCCGCTGTATCTTGTTTACTGCTCGCTCTCTCCCCCGTGCCTAGCTCACAAAAAATCTTAGTAGGTATCTGACATATAAATAATGTTTGAGTGGTGGGATTAGGATCCTCCACCCAACTCCCATTTCCCGTATTTCTGGAATGTTTTATTTTGCAACTTCACAGAATGTAAGAAATTGAAAAAAGAGAGGTCAGAGGAAAGAAGGCACTGAATCCTTTCTTTTCTTTCTTTTATTTAATTGCCAGTATGTCCGCAAAAGCAGAAATACATGGGGCTGTTGTGTAGAGAAGACTTTTGTCCCATCTTGCTTCCTTCTTCCAACAACGAGGGAGAGAAAAAGCAGAAGCTAGGGCGCCGAGGTCCTGCCCGACTATTCAGAACTCCTTATCTTTCTGATTTTTTGTGGTTTCATTCAGTGAATACCAGGGCCTGGTGAAGCACACGGGAGGTTGCCACTGTGGAGCAGTTCGCTTCGAAGTTTGGGCCTCAGCCGACTTGCACATCTTCGACTGCAAGTGAGTGTTTTCTCTTCCCAAGTTGCTTGGAAGGACTTAACAGTTAAAACGCAGCGCTTCAAGCAGCATCTGGGGAGTCAGGGTACCTATGAAACAGCATCAGCCGCGAGCTGATAATTGTTGGCCTCAGATGACGGGTACATAAGAGTTCTATTTATTTTTTCCTTTCATATGTGCTAGATGTTTTCAATAATAAGATTTTTATTTGAAACATAGGGGGGGGCTAAAAATAACTGGGCCTGCTCTGTGCGTGCGTGTGTGTGTGTGTGTGAGAGAGAGAGAGCTCACTCCTACAGCAGAGCCCCAGGGGACACAAAGTAGGGTCCTCCAGCTTCTGCCCCTCAGCGTCACCCCTCAGACCATACCGTTGGTGGGCTGACGGGGAGTGGTGATCTCTGGACATAGGTCAGCCCGGGGAACTGAATGAAAAGCCTTGGTTAGGCAGTCTTCATAGGAGTCCAGAGTTGGGCACAGGTGGAGGGGAAATGAGCAGAGGGTGTATACCCTGGGAAGCTTACCATGTTCCAGGCTTTCTGGCTCTGTTCTAGATGAGGCAGATGGTTCTGCCAGGATCTGTGGAGGGTTGCCTTTTAGCACCTTCCCAGGTGTTGTGATAGAACAAGGACAGTGACATCCGAACCAATAGCACATACCTCATTGTTCGACAGGATCCAGTCCTGTTAGAGAATTCTGTATGAAATCAGGAATTTTTGTCAAGACGGACTGAAAAGGAGATTTAGATTTCATCCCGAAAGTGGTAATTCGGAGGACCCATTTGACTCAGAGCTAGGCTTTCTGTGATGGACAGAGGAGGGAAGCGGGAAATGGAGGCTTCCTTGTCCGTTTTTGGTGTCGGGGTATCCCAGAGGCGCAGACTGTAGCTATGTCTGATATTTGTTTTATAAACGTCTCTAGAATCCAACAGTTCCCTTCACTGTAATAAACTGGGGGGTGGGGTGGGGTGGGCAGCAGGGATGTGGTTGTGACGGGCCTGGTTTTCCGAGGGGTGCGTGGCTTTGCCGAGCAGAGGCCTGTGCATCTGCCTGGGCTCTCCCTTCCCTGAATGGCCCGAAAGGGGCTTCCCCTCTGGGGTCAGCCGGCTCTCGGGACATGCTGGGTTGGGCCCCGTTGGGCCCCCAGAGGGTACAGATGCTTGTTTACAACCTGGGAATTCCTCTGTCTTTTTGTAGCTGCAGCATCTGCAAGAAGAAGCAGAATAGACACTTCATTGTCCCGGCTTCTCGCTTCAAGCTCCTGAAGGTTAGTGCTAAGAGCAGGCGTGAGGAGCCCCTGGCTTACAGCAGGTGCCCTGTGGAGGGCCAGGCGGAAGGGAGCAGAGCAGGACCTCTTCAGGGAGCTCGATTGTCCCTGTCATCCTGGGTTTCATGCGTATTTCTGAAAGGTTATGTTATTTTTCCCCTTTATATTTTGGATGCATACTTGATATTACTGTGAAAACATTAAAAATAGAACCAAAAAATAAATACGATCACTCAAATCCTATCAACCAAAAGTAACCACTGATATATATATAGGTGTATATCCTTGCACATTATTTTCTACCTGGGTAAATACAGCTAAATAATATTAACAATGACATTGTATATATGTCGTTATCAAAATAGGATTTTGCCTTTTGTTCTGTTCTATGATCGACTTTTATCATTTCCCAATGAAGAATATATATCTTCAACAATTTTTTTAATGGTGAATTCAAAATTTTATTGAGGTACACCTGACATGTAACATTATTAGTCTTAGGGGTACATCAAAATGACTCAGTATTTGTATATATTGCAAAATGATCAGCACGATTAAGTCTAGTTAATGTCTGACAACATATGTAATTAAAAAATAATTTTTTTCTTCTGATGAGGACTTTTAAGATTTATTCTCTTAGCAGCTTTCAAATATGCAACAACTGTGTTCTTAACTATAGTCACCATGCCCATTTTATTTTATTTAAGATTTTATTTAGTTATTTGACAGAGAGAGTTAGCGAGAGCAGGAACACAAGCCAGGGGAGTGGGAGAGGGAGAAGCAGGCTTCCCGCGGAGCAGGGAGCCCGATGTGGGGCTCGATCCCAGGACCCTGGGATCACGACCCGAGCCGAAGGCAGATGCCCAACGACTGAGCCATCCAGGCGCCCCCATTTTATTTTATTTTTATTTTTTAATTTTTGTAAAGATTTTACTCATTTATTTGACAGAGACACAGCGAGAGAGGGAACACAAGCAGGGGGAGTGGGAGAGGGAGAAGCAGGCCTCCCGTTGAGGAGGGAGCCCTATGTGGGGCTCATTCCCAAGACCCTGAGATCATAACCCGAGCCGAAGGCAGACGCTTAATGACTGAGCCACCCAGGCACCCCTTTTATTTTATTTTTAAAGATTTTTATTTATTTGAGAGAGAGAGAGAGAGAGAGAGCACAAGTAGGGGGGAGGGGTAGAGGGAGAGGGAGAAGCAGGCTCCCCACTGAGCAAGGAGCCCGACGCAGGACTCGATCCCAGGACCCTGGGATCATGACCTGAGCCGAAGGCAGATGCTCAACCGACTGAGCCACCCAGGCGCCGCTCCATGCCCATTTTATTTATTTATTTATTTATTTTTAAAGATTTTATTTATTTATTTATTTATTTGAGAGAGCGAAAATGAGAGAGAGAGAGAGCACATGGGGGGGGTCAGAGGGAGAAGCAGACTCCCCGCTGAGCAGGGAGCCCAATGCGGGACTTGCTCCCAGGACTCCAGGATCATGACCCGAGCCGAAGGCAGTCGCTCAACCAACTGAACCACCCAGGCGCCCCTCCATGCCCATTTTATAACTGAAAGTTTGTACCTTTTGACCTCCTTCACCCATTTTGCCCATCTCTTCCCTGGGTCTGGCATTAAAATGGTGAATTTAATGGCATGTGAATTATATCTCAATTTTAAAAATCAAGTGCATGTCTAATACTAATAATGAGTACTAAGATGGGGTGCCTGGGTGGCTCAGTTGGTTAAGCGACTGCCTTCGGCTCAGGTCATGATCCCAGGGTCCTGGGATCAAGCCCCGCATCGGGCTCCCTGCTCGGCGGGAAGCCTGCTTCTCCCTCTCCCACTCCCCCTGCTTGTGTTACCTCTCTCACTGTCTCTCTCTCTCTGTCAATTAAATAAATAAAATCTTAAAAAAAATAATAATGAATACTAAGAAACTGAAATTAAAATCATCATACCATTTCAAGCAATGCAAAGAAAATTAAATAGTTAGGTGTTCAACTAACAAAACATGTCCCTGATCTATGTACTGAATATTACAGGAAGCCGATGAAGTTACTAAAGAAGAACTTAATAAGTGGATAGATATCATATGTCTATGGACTGGGAACCTCAGCACAGTATTGATGTTCATTCTCCCCACAGTGTTTATAGATTTAGTGTGATGTCTATCAAGATCCCAGGAAGGCTTTTGCAGACATATACAAGATTGCTCTCTATTTTTTTTTTTAAAGATTTGTTTATTTGAGAGAAAGAGAGCATGAGCAGGGAAGGGGCAGAGGGAGAGAGACAGAGAATCTCAAGCAGACTCTCTGCTGAGCGTGGAGCCCGAAGAGGGGCTCGATCCCACAACCCCAAGATCATGACCTGAGCTGAAACCAAGAGTCGGTTGCTTAACTGAGCTGCCCAGGTACCCCAAGATTACTGTAAAATTCATATGGAAGTACTCGGGCCCTAAAATAGCTAAAATAATGTCCACAGGGAACAGTGAAGTGGGAAAAAGTAACTCCACTCAATATGAAAGCTTCTTCTATACACATAGTCGTCGACAGAGTGTTAACATGGTCAGATAGAGATGCAGATCCATAGAAGAGAATCAAGAGGCCCAGTAGTAGACTCACTCCAGTTTGCTCAAATTATTAAAGTTTCAAAGCCACTGTTTCCTTGTTGATTTTCTGTCTGGGTGATCTACCCATCGATGGAAGTGGGGGTTAAGGCCCCCTACTATTACGTATTGCTGTTCATTTCTTTAGGTCCGTTAATAGTTGCCTGATGGATCTGGGTGCTCCCATGTTGGGTGCATTGATATTTGCAACCGTTACGTTCTCTTGTTGGATTGTTCCCTTTGTCATTACGTAGTGTCCTTTGTCTCTTGTTAGGGTCTTTGTTTTCTTATCTCTTTGGTCTGATGTCAGTATTGCTATCCCCTCTTTCTTTTTGCCTCCATTTGCATGGTCAATGTTTTTCCATCCCTTTACTTTCCATCTACATGTATCTTTAGGTCTGAAGGGAGTCTCTTGTAGGCAGCATATTGATGAGTTTTGCTGATTTAAAAAATTGTAACTTTATTATTTCGGGGAGTTTTCTTGTGCTTGGTACAGATTTTTGAAAGGTACAAAAGTAAGTCTTCCCTCCATTGCCCCTCGGTCCCCGAATCTCTTCCTCCCCCACAATCCTTTCCTAACTTACTTATGCTGTTATTCCTGTACTTGCAGCACTTTTTTTCCTCGCAGGATATTTTGTTATGTGAATGTACCAGAAGCAGTTTCCTATGTTTAAACTTCTAGGTAGGGTGCCATTTTTTTTCCCAGTTATAAACAACACTGTGGTGAACCTCCCTGTGCATAAATCTCCGGTAATTTAGAAGTTATGTCTTTTGGATCAGTTTTCTTAGAAATAAAATCGCTGGTCAAAGAATAAAAGCTTTTGGGGCACCTGGGAAACTCGGTCAGTAGCATCTGCCTTCGGCGTGGGTCATGATCCCAGGGTCCTGAGCCCCGTGTCCAGCTCCCTGCTCAGTGAGGAGCCTGCTTCTCCCTCTCCCTCTGGTGCTCCCCCTGCTTGTCTCTTGCCGCTCTCTCTCTGTCAAATAAATAAATAAAATCTTAAAAAAAAAAAAGAATACAAGCTTTTTAGTAAGGCTTTTGGCAAGATGGCTGGGTGGCTCAGTCGGTTAAGTGTCTGCCTTCAGCTTGGGTCGTGATCCTGGGGTCCTGGGATCAAGTCCCTTGTCTGGCTCCCTGCTTGGTGGGGAGCCTGCTTCTCCCTCTCCCTCTGCTGCTCCCCCTGCCTGTGCTTTCTCATTCTCTCTCTCTGACAAATAAATAAAATCTAAAAAAAAAGAAAGAAAGAATAAGGCTTTTGGCACAGTGTCGCTACTATGGGGTGGGCTGGGGCTTTCATTCCATCCTTGGTTCCCCTCGCCCCCACTGTGGTCTGACAGACTTCACTCTTCTTTGGTGTAATGGTGTGTTTCCACGTCTGTCTCCTCTGTGAAATCGTTGGGGTCTCCGAGCACCATCTTTAGTCACTTCTGACCAGCTCCTGGCCTTGCAGGCTTGGCATTGAGTAGGCACTCCGTGTCCAGAAGGAACCACTAACTGAGTGAAGGAATGCGTGAGTCCTGGCCTTTCCTGGGGAGTGAGATTTAATCCCGGACACTTGGGGCCACTTTGTCTCCTTTTCTTAATCATTCTTGTGGGTGCCTGGTGGACGAGGGGGACCCTTGGGTAGCACACTGCTCCCTGTTTTCCCCGTACACCCAGAGAATGCCAGTTCTCCTCGGCAGCGTGCTGGAGGCTATGGTCCCAGCTCAGCTTCGCCCCTGAGCACCCGTGACAGATGGTTCCTGAAGGCGCCACCAGGTACAGCCGTAAGCTCTTGGGTCTCAGAATTGGTACTTTCCCCCCTTTATTTCCTCCTTGGGCCTGCTTATCAGTGCATTTCCTGGTGCCCTAGAGCACCATACTTGGCCCCAGCCTGTAGAAGGAGTGATTTGATGTTTCGTTGTTTT